TTGTTTTTGGTCTATCTTTATTGTGACTGGGGTTGGTTGTCTCGAAATTTTCATTACTTTTGTTTTCTCCACATTCATTTCCATGCCATAGTACCTTCAAATTTCGATTAGTCTGTGAATCATACCCTGTAGCACAGTTTCTTCCTTAGCCATTAACTCAAGGTCATCTGCATATTTCACAGTTTGAATAATTTGAAGTCTCCGAGCCCATCCAGAGCTTCCTTGGTAAGGCATTTGCTGTACAAGTTGAACAGAATTGGTGATAAACAGCATCCTTGTCGAACTCCTCTTCCAATCTGCACACTTCTTGACTCCCCTATGCCCAGTCGCACTCTAACTTCTGATCCATGTACAATTTGCTAATCAATCTTCTTTCACGCTAATCGATACCTGTTTCCTTTAGGATCTTCATTAATTTAGTCCAATTTACATGGTCAAATGCCTTCTGCCAGTCTATAAAGCAAGCACACAGTTCTTCATCTATCTGCAAAGTTCGTTCTGCTATAATTCTCATCATCCCAATTGCATCCCTGGTTCCTTTTCCTCTTCTAAATCCAAACTGATCCTCTCCAAGTATATCCTCTATTTTCCTTTAAATTCTTCTTTTAAGTATCTTTACTGTATGTGCAATAAGGCTTATTGTGCGATGGTCGCTGCAGTTTGTAGCTTTTGTCTTTTTCAATTTAATAGTTATAAATTTTAAAAGCTTAATATATTATGACATGACTGAATAGCTTAACAAGAGATGTCTACTGTTGATAGGCAATGAAGAGCATGCAACAATTGAAGAATTGTTTGATGTGGTGTTTTCTGTGCAGTCCATCCTGAGGCTATGTAATGAGACTAGTTAGTTCAGAGTCAAGTTACTTGACTGCCATTGTAGTGGGAGCTACAGAAAATAGGGCGTGATGTGCTTTACTGAGTCTGGACTGACAGAGGTTTTGTATACATTGTATATACATACTTTTAATAACATGTAAAATATAAATATATTGTTCATACTGACAACTGACTTATTACTGCAGAATGTGACTCTGACAAATGACAGACCGATCCACTCATCAGAGAGGGTGCCCCATATGAACAGGGTAGCAATTGTTAAACAGAAACTAATATCTGGTCATGAGCTCCTGATGGGGACCAACACCAAGACAGCTTGACTGACTGACCACCAGTTGCAATGTGTCTTTGACTTGACTTCGAGAGTCGACAGTTGCAGCAGTGATTTAGTTTTAAGATGTGAGATGGTAGCCAGCCAGCAGTGCTGTAATCAGGAAAGCAGAAGAATCTTCACTGTTTAAACTGTAATCAAGCAACAACTAGTGGAGACTATAGCAGAGGGAGACAGAATATCCTATAATAGTTTGTTTAGTGCGTAGATTAGCAGTAGCAATATAATTATTTGTAGTTGCAAGTTTTAAGCCTGAAGTAAATCAAATTACCAATACAAACTTGTCACTAACAAGTGACAGTATGGAAACCTATAACTTTACCAGTTCTTATTCCATGAACAAGCTAACAAATGTTGTGGTCAAGTGGTTAGCATTCCTGAGTCATGTCTGGTAGGTCACATATTTAAGTCCCATCCCAGAGACAGACTCTTCTTACTGCTCTATTTTGTAGTTCTCCTTAGTCTGTTCCAGGTTATGCTGGGATCATATCTTAAAATAGGTCAAACCACTTTCTTCTATATCCTTTCTATAACCATTCAGGTCCTGATTTCAGAATCTCATATAAAGTCAACTCTCGATTATCTGGGATAATGGAGGGCATGGAAATCACGATTAATTGAAAACCCGGTTAAGACAAATGTTATTAAAGTAGTACTGTAATACTGTACCTTCATAGTACTATAGGCCTACCTGTATTTAAATTTACTCAACCTCATTTTTTGTCATCTCATGGCCTATTTAATACTTTTCTTACATTATACTTAAGTGTGAATTAGTTATTTCAGTCACAGTGTTCAACAACATCCAACACTTTTTATGAATATTCACACTTAACACTTAAAAAAATTAATATTGTCGTTTACTTTTTCGCGGCATTTTCCTTTTTACGGATATCCGTACGAATCCTACGTAATATTAGCTTGTCACTTAATAAACTGTTCTCTTCACTCTCAAGATAGTCTAGTAAGGATTCCAAATGATTAAGAGCAGCACCATGTGATATTTTCTTACTAGCAGCACTGTCCACCTCTTCCTCATTCTCACTTTCTTCCCGCTCTTCTGGCTGCACCCCCATTGAACTTACGGTTTCGTCACTGCTTAACATTTCGAATCCCGGCTCACATGAGTTTCTGTTGAATGCTTAACACAACACGCTTCCATTTACACCCTGACATTTTGCTAACGGACTTGAAGATCGATAGAAAGAGACCAACTGGAGGGGTGTATCTGTCCTTGAAACTTTCTACAAATCCTTGCATTCTTTCACCCCTGCCCTAGAACATTGTGTTAGCATAACGGGACCAAAGAATGCAGAGCTCGGTTCACACTACTGTGAAAATAGTGTTACAACTCACCATGTAAAACAAAAGTGAATGAATATTAAACAATATATAAGTCTCAAAAAAGCCTCAGTAGCCCTGGTTAAGCCGCAAACCGGTTAATCCACCCCTGGATAATCGAGCGTTAACTGTATCAGTTATGACATTTAAATTATTTAAATTACTTGTATCTGCTTCCTGAAAGTAGTGCTTTTAGCCCTCTCTCCAGCTCAAGATCTGTATCTTTGGAATTCTCTGTGAGTGTTTATTCAATATATCTGCAGCTACAGTAATTTTTACACATCTGGAGAGTCTTGTCGTCTATCCACAACCTGAAGACATGCTATGCCACAATGTCAGAGACCCACGTATCCTAGATTATATGCTTACATTTATGAAAAGTTTACAGGGATCTAGATCACTAACTTAACAAACGTGGACAATACATGGTGTGAAGCTGACCACTCACCTTCATCTAGTGCCAAGGTCAAGAATGGTTGAGCTATACCTCCACTCCCTCATATCTCTTCATGGAATAGTGCTTAATTAATTAACCACAGGGCAACTTTACCATTTGTTGTTCTAACCCAAAAGAAGAGCGGTGGAAAATTTTATTTTTAGTACTAAGGGCATGGGAACAGTAAAGTTAAAGCAAATGCTGAACATAATCACACCTGATCCTGAGTAGTTGTTTGTTCTTGACATTCCCACTATCATAAAGATATTGCTGCCATGTTGAGATGACAATGACTTATGAAAGTGTGAGGATGAATTTGATAATGGCCAGCATTTTCTGGAATTAACTGAAAAAGCCAAGACAAACGCAATGTTGCAAAGTAGTAATTACCACCTATGCTTTGTATTTGTGAGGTACTGGGTTGAAGTCTGGATATTTAACAGACTGGCAACTTTGACTAAGATACTTCAAGGGTTTCCGCAATCTTTCCAGAAGAATACTAGTATAGTACCTTAAATGAGATCATATATCTAATGAATTCTTGATCCGCTTAATTGCGCTTTTCAGCTGGATAGGTTATGTAGAGTTCAGTGTTGGGGTGGTTATGAATGATGAATTGGAATAAATGAAGAAGGAAGTGGTAATAGTCTGTTTCAAAGTGTTACCCAAAATTTTCATGGTGATGTAACTGTCCAGTTTATGTGATGGTCAATTGATGTTTTGTGTATGGTTAGGGTTTTGTGAAATTGCTCACTTTCGCCTCACAATTTGAAATTATCCCCCTGAGACAAGCAGCAAGTGGCTTGGGTGAAGCTTGAAGCCAGCTGCCCATCCGTAAATCAGTCGATTTAATGCGTAAAACTGAAGGAGCATCAGCGGCACATCCGTCTCGAACAACCGGACAAGTCGGCCGTAGCTGAACACAGCATCGATCTGGGACACCGCATTCAGCTTCAGAATACCTCCATCCTCGCCACCAAGACCCGCTATATGGATCGCATCATTAGGGAGGCAATTGAGATTAAACTGCATCCAGGAAATATGAACAGAGAGGGGGGTTTTGTCTCAGCAAGTCTTGGAAACCTCTCATCTGTTCTCTTAGAAAACCCCCACTGGGATATGATGCCAGATCCAGAAGGCCACACAGGCCATGACCAACCAACATAACAACCACCCCCACCCCCCTCAGCTTATGGATTAGTGCCCAGCCTTTAACCTTGCCTTTCTCTCCCCTACACAAAAACACGCTTGTCCCAGCTCCCTTCCCCTACCCCTCCCACATTACTGCTTTCACTTGTATACTTGCCATTCCCCCCTACCCTCTCTGCCCTCACATAGCTGTGTATATTTCCACACAGTCTGCTTTACCGGTTCTCACGGCCTCTTCACTTTGCAGATTTCTTATATTTTTTCTTCTACCCTGAAGATGGAGGCGATACGTTCCTCTGAAACGTCGGTTAACACCACATATACACGGTGCCAAATCCCAGAAGACTGCTTTCTTCATAGTCACCGCCGTGAAAGCCTCACATCTTACAAGGCCGAGTTCTTTAGAAATTCTAAACTTGACAAGGGAAGTCATAAATTTAGCAGCGTCGTTTCCTGCTACCCCAAAATCTCAGTTTGACAGCCACGCAGCAGGTGGCAAAGTTCACCCCTAAACTGTACACTAGTGGATATTCACTTTCCTAATTGGAGGAGAAAGATAAGCAACCTCCCAGTCTGCCCGGTCCAGCCAATCATCATCTGAAGTGGGAGGTCCTTTGCCCGAATTCTGGGTAACCAGGGCAAATATTTACCATTCAGAGGGTGCTTGGCAAAGAGGACTCCGAAATTTACCTTCACCGGGGGTACACGTGTTCTGATCCCTGTGAACACCCCCTGTGGTGACTAACGTGTGTGCCTTAGTAAACAGAGGGGAAGCCTACACCCACAAATCTATGAAGTGTGTCACTACGGTGCTGTTTCCATTTAAATAGTGCAGATTGAATAAAGACTTCAAACAGTTAATTGGTGTTGAGGTGACTTCCCTACGCCTAAAGCCCCACTAATCACCCAAGTCATGGCCAGTCAACACGCCCTGAGAGGATTTCGATTTCTCTACTAGAGCTAGCAGAACCGAAGAACGGTTACAGGGTGACTAGGGAAAATATAAAAATGTGTATCCAGACTGTAGGGTGAGTGTTTTCACGTTCTCAATTTCTCAACAGTTTTCTATTTATTTGACATTAAATAATTTGTATAGTTTGTAATGCAACGTTAAAACCAAGAACAATTTCAGTTAAGATGATTTAGTGTGAATATGGAATTTTGAATATTGTGAATGTAAACAAGATTTTAAGGACACTGCAGAGAAGATTTTTGTTCACCTTCTGGTACAAACATGCAGGACACACATGCCATGCCTCCAAGCAACATGGTGAGGCAGAGAATCCAGCGTCTTCCCCATCGATCCATTGCGTACCATGTGATGATGTAACTTGGGATCTCCACTGCACCACCTACAGAGCACAGGAAAAGATGTTGTAAGCTATGTTCTAAAGGGACCTTGCATTCACCACTGACCTTGATGTTCACTTACTGTTGACATGGATAATAAACACTATGAATATTACACTGTGCAGACATTAATTTTATTACTGGAGGAGATAATCAGCAGTAGAAATATAGACATAAAAGCTACAATATAATTTTTCCATCTGTTTTGCTACACATATCAAATGAATCAAGGTTTGAGACTTAATGAGGTACACCTGTCATATCACGTACTCATTTCTGGATCATGAACAACTTTGAGGTACATGACAAAGTTCAGTTGGAGCTGTATGTAATGTAGAGGTTGTAAGAGACTAGTATGGACCAGAATGAAATTCATTTGACTGCTTCTAGTGGAGATGCTCTGTACCAAATTAGATAACTTTCATGAAGCAAGCACATAAAGTGGATGCTTTTGGATTTCTGAAGGAATGATGATTTCAGAATTTCAGATCCAGTTTCCAAAATGTTGGTTTGCAAGTTGTTTATAATACTGGACAATGGACAAAGTCCAAAAACACAGTAATTATGATTACATATGTATCTTGCAGAAGACAAAAATTTCTGGAAAAAAACTTATAATTCATTCTTTCAATTAAGTATTTCATTTCATATATTGAGGCCAACAGGACCAGTAATTTAATAACTGTACAATTTGGACCTTGTATGCTTAATTTCCACTAATATAGTTTCAAAATATATTTTTTTGATATACCCACAGAGTTTCACTTCATTGAATTGCCATGATTGTTTAAATGTAACAGCAACATTCCATTCAGAATTTTAAGTATATTTATAATGTATTACCACACAAAATTTACATGCCTACTTAAATCTGATGTTTTATTAGTTTTGCCATAAAATGGAAAGTCATGTACATGTACTGATTTTGCTCACTCATCGTTCATATTGTGGCTCTGCAGAATATTCACATTCACAAACTGTTGCATATTTTTGAGGGACACTGCCACCATGTTAATATTTTGAGGGTAGTAAATGAAAAACTATGTAGGTGGAGTGGCCTCTAGTGGTATGATATTTGCACCGTATTTCATTATATTGTCAGATGGTTGCAAATTCATCTAAGAATTACCACATATGGCTGCCTCCTTCCTCTTCCTCATATACCCTACCTTCTTTCCCCTTTTCTTCCCTTCCCCTCCTTTCTTGACATTGTTTTCTGTAATAACCCATTTTGACCCATGTTGACCTGTGGATAGCTACTTCCTTCAGCCCAAATAATGGACATGTCATAATAAGAATTAATTATGGCAGGATTAGGCAGGAGGATATGATTATTACATAAAGTTATAGTGAACAAAAGATCCATTCATCTCATTATTAACTGAAAAGGATGACAGTCTGTAATGAGATTCACTTTGATTAGAGAGTTACATAGTTTGAATGTGAGCTATTCACTAACTATCTTGAGTAGGGTTTCTCATAGCTTACTTCATTCTTTCCAAGTAAATGCAGGGAGTGGCTTGAAGCTGACCATGACCTCTTCCTCCCACTTCTGCTTTTTTGCTATTCCTTATAATTTTCTGATCTTATTCAATATTAAATTATTTCTGTGTTACATTATCAGGTCAGGTTACTTACCTATAAAGAAAGCTAAATAGTCACTGACACCAAGATTAGTTGCATTGTAAGAGAGACCATTGTAAACAACAGCATTGGCTACCCAGTCAAAAGCCAAAATAAAGAACTTCTTGCGGATGTTTGGGTGTCTCAGGAGATCCATTGGTGTGGCTGAGATGTTAGGAGCTTCTTGATGACATAAGTCGCCATTCCACAGCTTTTGTTTGTTAATGAGCTGCATGAATAATAATGCATGTGAACTGTACAAATTATTTACTATGAAAAGGTAATTTTTAGACCTACCATTTTCAATGCTCATATATTAGAACTTTGTCTTTAAATCTTCCTATATGATCACAGATTTGAGACCATGAGCTTCAAAATGTGATATTCTTCATCATTTTAATGGCAGAGTTTCATGAAACTGGTCTTCTATGGATTTTATATTGTTAGTGTCGATCACAAAGATCGCGTGGTCTAAGACATGAAATGTCTTCACCTGCTCAAACATTGGGATCATAGGTTCTAATAGCACTCAAGGCATGGACGTCTGTCTCCATTTATCCTGTGTTGTTCTGTCCAGGTAGCTGCCTTGTGATTGGTTGATCCTTCATCCAAGGGGCCCTACTGACTGTCTAAGATTAAGAAACTGAAGTGAAACAAAGTGTTTCAGAGATGCCCTAAACTCCAAGTGGGAGCAACAGGAATAAGGATGGATGGGTGGGTGCGAGGATGCTTTTAGGGTTGTTTGGCAATGGGACCTAAACTATAACATGGACAGAAGAGTGAATTTAATTATCCTTACTTAATATATTAAAATGAGTTCAAGTTTATTCCAGAAATCCAGAAAGAAGACAAAAAATGCAATATTCTCTAGGCAGCAACAATAGGTTGCTTGGATATTTACTGTTCAATGATGTGCTTTATTACAATTAAGTCTATTCCTCCATGTAACTAGTGATGAATTACAGAGTAACAAGAATGGAAAGGTTTACTGCAAACAGAATTCCCTGTATTTTCCAAATGTTCAAGGCTGTACCTGGTTGTTTTCCACTCCCTGACACCTACCTCCATTTTTCTCAGAAAATTCTTCGGCAATTCCTTCCCATTTATACGAGCCATTGTCTGGACAATTTCTTCAGCTTCATCAATTCTGTTCTTGCTCAGTAACCATCTCGGTGATTCTGGGATTATCCAGTAATAGCTGCAAGTATTTTGAACGGGAGAATGTAAATGTGAGCCCTAAATGGCAAAAACTACTGAAGTAAGATCTTATACAAATTTTGAGCTCTCATGATTTTCTACAATGATGATGATTATAGTGGCAGATACCCATAAAATTCTGGCATATTTCTGCAGAAATACACTGCATCTCATCCTAACTGCCACAATATTAAAATTATCTTATTTGACACTGAATCTTAGTGTTGGTTATTTCTGCATGTTTGTGACAGTCTCAACAAAAGATTAATATTTTAGGAGCATGTAAAGGAGAAATGGGGCCTTAAATAAAATTAATGTCCTCTCATCAATACCTAGGAGGCACTATGCCACAAGTCAGAAGGTCACAGGATCAAATCCTGATAAGGTGGATTTTTTCAATTTGCCTAATCTTTCCAGCCGCACTATGGCCTGGGATTGACTCAGCCTCTAACAGAAATGAGTACCAGGAATATTCTTGGGGGTAAAGAGTTGCCAGCACGTAAGGCTGACAACCTCACCGCCAACTGTGAGGCGATTGTCTAGAAAATGTGAGAACCTCAACATCTCACAACCCTATGGGCCTCAACGGCCTGTTACAGGGATAGCTTTACTTTTTTTTATTGCTAGTGGAGTGGGACTAAGTCCCTTGTACTGTGGCCACTTCTGGCCTATTGTACCAGCCCCAGATGATAGGCGAGGGCGATTGTGGAGCAGTTGGTGGAATGGAGATTGGCAGGGGAAACCGAAGTACTTGGAGAAAACCTGCCCCAGCGCCACTTTGTCCACCACAAATCCCACTTGATCAGACCCGGGATCGAACTCGGGCCGCCATGATGGGAAGCCAGTGACCAACCATTTGAGCTTTACTTACTTTACTCATCAATACTAGTGAGCATTTTCATTTACATTCCTTCAGTTCTACATGTGATGTATTCAATCTCACGGGTTGAAACTGAAGAAAAGTAATTATCTGGAAAGTAAAGATACAAGTCCAGTAAAAATGCAAGGAATTTTTTTCAGAAGTGACTGTGCCGCCGTGTGAGATAGGAACTGTATGACAGGGCTGAGTTCACTGTCCATAGTCACGATAATGCTGTGCTTGTAGTATGTGTTTAAAGTGGCCAAATGCCAAATGTGAGGTTTGTGCAGCAATTGGAGTTCTTCACATGAACAAATTTGTTTCTGTCTATGGCAAAGATGTTATGAGCAGGCAAAATGTGACAAAATGGTGTCGTGAATTTGAAGCTGGAAGAAGCGATGTTCATAATGAAATAAAGAGTGGAAAGCCATCCATTTTCACTGATGAAATCATCCAAAAAATTGAAGAAAACATTCGTGCTGACAGACGCTTAACCATCGATGAACTTCATCAACAATGTCTAGAAGTGTCAAGAGCTGTTCTCCGTGGCTAAGAAAGCAGACGGGAGATTTCTATGATGCCGAAAAAAAAAACTCGTTCCCAAGCTCACTAAGTGCATTACGATCCATGGTTACTATGTTGAAAAATCAATAAAAGTGTGTTGCAAAGTGTTACAGATGAATAAAAAAGTGCTTTAAAAATATTTTCTGGACTTTGTATTTTTACTTTCCAGATATCATTCGTATTATTTACTTTACTGGATTTCATTTATATATGGTTATGTTTATCTTGTTCTGGAGCAGTTATAGTTTGTCACAATATTGACTTACATTTGTTTTTGTTCACTACTATTCCTCTGAACACCACTGCACTGTCTCTTTGAAATCATCTTGTCATAGCCAGCATATCTAACTGTTTTATCAATTATGGCAACGAATTGTCGTTCTTAAGTTCAGACTCAACTGTACTATCCCTCTTTCAATTGCAACTGCGGTTTTATAGAAGCTGTATTTCTAGAATTGTCCAGTACATACACAGTGTGTCCAGGTTCTGTTAGGACTGTGTTCATTAAAAATACAAGACATGATTTATTTTTAAAATTTCACTCTTTTTGTTCAAAATAGTCTCTTTCTGAATCAATACATAGCTGGAATCGATTTAAAAGTTTTTGAAAACAGTCACTGTACTCCTTTTGTGGAATCGCATTTAAAACTGCAGTACATTACCTTTGGATGTCCTGGATGGTGTTGTGACAGCCTCCTTTCACCGCGAACTTAACTTTTGGGAATAACCAGAAATCTGCTGGAGCCAAATCTGGCCAAAAATCGCGCACGATCTTCGATTTGTGGGGTGGGGCATTGTCGTAGAGGAGCGACCAGGAACCTTGCTCTTGATATTCAGGTCGAATTCGAAGAATTCTAGCCCACAAACGATTGAGGACTCCGAGATAGTAATTAAAATTCACTGTTTGACTTTCTGACAGAAATTCCTTGTGAATGATTACCTTGGAATCGAAGAAAACGGTTAGCAGTGTCTTTACTAGACTCTTTTCCATGTGCACTTTCTTCTGTTTCGGCTTCTTTGGGCTCAACCACGCTGCACCGCTTTGTTGGAGGCTCATATTGAAAACATATTATCTTGTCACCAGTAACAATCGATTTTGTAAATTTTGTATCACTTTGGGCCGACCGTAACAAGTCTTTGCAGTGTTCCACTCTGGCATGTTTTTCATCACCTGACAGCGCGTGCGGTACAAACCATGCACAGACCTTCCATTTGCCAAAATCCTCAGTCAAAACTTGATGCACAGTACTTTTTGGTATTCCCAAAAGCTCCTCGATGAGTCTTGCAGAAACACATCTGTCTGATGCAAGGATTTCGGCCACTTATTTCACATTTTCTTCAGTGCGACTTGTTCTCGGCTTTGATGCACATAGAGCGTCTTCAGTGTCCTCCCTGTTGTCACGAAATACAGCATACCATCGAAACATGTTCGAGTGACTCAAACAATCACTACCATACACACTTTTCATAATTTCGTATGCTTCTTCGGCTGTTTTGCATAACTTCAAACAAAATTTGATGTTGGCTCTCTGTTCAACCACCATTTTCCGACGAGAGTCAGAACAGTACTGTTACATTCAAGGTCAGAACACATGATGCAGCGATGCTTGCGATTTGGAATTACAGACAGCCACAGCTGAAACTTCAAGCACCTTAACGCCACAACTCGCCAACAGATGCTATTACAGGGCAAAATTAAAAAAAAAAAAGAGTCCTAACGGATCCTGGATACACCGTGTAAGTGAGAGATGAAGCACACCGAGTTTTTGCAAGTTCTGAGAAGGGCAGGAAATGTGAAACATTCGATATTGATATGTGCACACACATTGCGATGTAACTCAACTTCCCCCTTCCCCTCCACATTCAGTCCATCCAGCACTACTTTGTCATGAAGGCTGATCAATGTGGGTATACTCTAGATACTGTGTGAGTCTGTGCAGGTTCAGTACCCATAATTTTCGCCCTGGGATGGTGCTGGGTCCTAAAGACTGCATCATTGATCAAAGTGATCACCTGTTAATGGCCTTCCCAGGATGGCAGCACTTTCAGTATATTCACTTTGGTCCATATCTGATGATACAACCAAATCTCGCCTCCTTCCTGGAATTAAGCAGAGTTTCTAGACTGTAATGGGCCTTCATCATATCGCTGGTCATCTTCACACGTTGCATAGCGTAGTGATGTAAGTCATGCAGTTGTTTGACAAGGTTCACTATATAGTCAGCTGTACGATGTTGCTCCGTGTATGGTGGAACTCTAAACAGCAATTCACATAGCAGACTTTACTCCCTTCTGACTAAAATGCTTGTGGACATCATGCCTATGGTATTGTGGGTGGAGAATCTATCAGCCGGAAACAGGGGGTGTACCCTCATGTGCTAATCTCCTTTGTTTGCCGAAACGCCTTCCTCCTGGTGCTCCCCTGCTGTCTTATCATAGCATTCCACCATGCTGTTGAGACTGTGAATTCGGAGGAGTTGTGCCTACCTTGAATATTCCAAGGTGCCGTAACATTTCCACAAGCAACCATTGCTCAAACGTCAGGCCTGTGATTTTGATGGTGATTCCTCCAGATGGTGTATCAATATTATACTGTTGCAGTATGCCCTGGCACTGATTTCCTGTTTTGTTAAAGTCAGATACCTCCTGAAGATCTTCAGTAGCCCTCCAAACATTTTTTTCACCTTACTCCAGAATAGGGCTCTTTGGTCTGTCGTTTATCTCCCATTATCTGACTCCCAGTGACACTTCAGTATGCCCTCTCTGGCTACCAGGGGTCCTTCTTAGCCCAGTTATTGTGACTGTGGTCAGGAATATCCCTCAACTCAGGATGCTCTCCAGCCTCCATTTTCTGTACAATCGACCACACGTCAGTGTCATCCAGCCCCCTATCCAGTTAATGACGTGTAATCTCTCCGTGAGGTTAAAGCGGCAAGAGGGTAAAGTTGACTACTCATCTCCATTTACTGCCGAGGACTCGCTCCATTCCCGTTCTCCTGTCTCACTTCTCTTACAACTTCTGAACTCCACTGCTGAACTGAACTGCTGCACTGAACTTCTGAAGTGATTCAGGATTCTCATGTGACTTCTCTTTATAACTTCAGGAAGAACTGAATAGAGATCACCACCTCCAACAGTCCATCTATTACTGTGTGCTTATTCGTTGCTGTGGAAATGTGTCTAGTTAGCCATTGTATAGCAATTGATGTCTCTGCTGTGCTTCTCTGACTATGCGTTTCTGGCGTTCAGGCATCATGTCACAATATATTGGAGCCACCATTACGTTGAACTTCCCTTTGTCTCTGTATTATTTACCAAAATGTCAAGTGTTACCAATTCACACCCTTACAGTTCTGCACAGTGTCACAGGAGGGCGCCAAAGACTTCAAGTTTCACAGTACTCTCTGATATGAGTCTGTGTTGAGAGTATGAAGACAAGTGTTTTACATTTCCAAAAATTTAATATCTCATATTTAGCTTTTAAGTTTTCACCTACTGTTAATTACTTCCAATTAAAGAAATCAGAATGGTTTTTATTTATATGCTTAATATTAAAAAAAACAACAAAAAGAAGATGAAGCAAGTAACGTGATAGAAAAAGTGTAAGCAATTTAAAATGTAAAGTACATTTAAACTTCTTCATTTTAATGGTAGAGTCTCTTACATAAGGTGGGAGGATGTGTTAACACATTGATAGTACACTCCTGTTCAGAACTCTCTTTCATTGTCTGAGAAAATTGCCCCATTTACTGTCAGCTGCAACTTTTGTTTATTGTAACAATTTGGTCACTTTGCTGACAACAGTAAAATGTCTTTCCCTTACAAGTACAAGAATTAGATTTCAAAAGCTAAGGTAAGTGAGATGTATTAAGAATTAAAAATGATAGAGAGATAATTGGGCTAGTTCTGTACTAACACCTATCCAATCCAATTCATTATGAAGTGTCCCAGGAATTTAAATTCAGAGAATTAATATTGTAACATGGATGGTGAGAGTGTTGCTAGATAATGGACCAGTAAACACACCCCATACACGCTCACAACAATGGAACAATAAAGTTAAGAAACCTGCTTCTAGGCAGCAGCTCAATAAACAGATTTCCATGCAGGCACAGTGACGTCACTGCAAGAGTACTATTACATGATTGTTTTCTGTGTTGTCCATGCGGCGCCTATATAATGAATATCTCTTTGTGTGACAGACTCAACCTCTCATCAGAGATGGCGCCCCAAATGAACAGGACAGTAACTTTCATATAAAGAAAAAAAAAATCTTGTCATGAGCCCCAGTTGGGGCTCGACACCGAGACAGACAGACTGACTGACCGTCAGTCGCAATGTGACTTTGACTCTGACTTTGACAAGCATCTAAAATGACAGACCTGACCTCTTGTCAGAGAGGGCAACCAAAATGGATAGGGCAGTAACTTTCATATAAGAAGAAACATCTGGTCAGACAGACTGACCAACCATCTATCACAGTGTGACTTTGACTCTGACTTTGACAATCATATGACTTAGGAGGCGACAAAAAGGAAGCTTCAAATCTGAGACAGTAAAATATGGTTGTGAGTACTAAGGGACTTGGACCTGAAAAAGACTGCGCTGGCAAGGACCAGCAGCATATACAAAAGACAGACCCATCCTCTCGTCAGAGGGGGCGCCTCACAGAAACAAGACTGTAACTGTCAAACGGTAATAAATATCTGGTCATGAGCCCCAGATGGGGCTCGACACCAAGGCTTACTGACTGACTGACCATCAGTTGCAATGTGATTTTGACTTCGACCTGGTTAAGTCAGAGTGTGTGTGGAGAGTTCGAGAGAGCTCAAAACAATTGAGACTACTGCAGAGTGCTTGCAAAAGACGTGAATAGAAGACCTGATGTGTGTGTTATAATTACAGCAACTTGAGAGTGATACAATTATTTGTAGTTACAACTAGTGAATATTCAATAAACCGATTCACCAATCCAAACCCACGTCTTAGTCGCTAAAAAACTCAAGACAATATACTAATATGCTATCCTTAAAGCTAAAAAGATGCAGGATCATTGCACTATGATGCCAACGCATAGGACCCTTGGCCCTGACCACACCCACCCTACACTAGGGGTGGCTTTGATAGGGAGCAGCCTCTTTCCACCCTCACTAACAAAATAAAAACAACATTGAATGCAACTCACCTGAAGAGTAGCACAAAGGGCACTGAAGTGGCCAGAGAGAGTGTATACCAGTTGCGGAGTAGGTATCCCAGCAGAGCAAGAAGTGAGAGGCCCAATGCAAAGAACATGCAGATCACCATGCCTGCAAATGTTCTGTATCGTGGTCCCATCAACTCCAATGCTAAGAGTGGAATTTAGTGATGTGAGTATATACAGTTTTATTGCGAGATATGAATCCTTTCCTGTACCATCACAATAATGTTGCTTTCATATTTGACAATGGAAGCATAATGTACTGGTATCTGTACTCCATGACATAATATTCCTTGAGGAAGTTGGGAACCAGCTTGTTTTAGCTAAATTCAGTTTGGAACAATAGATAATAATAATAATAATAATAATATTAAAAATTAATTATCTTGAAAACCGATAAAGCTTACAGGTATACTGATAAAAACAAATTATTTTTCATTTGTCTCTATAACTTCTGTTCCAAGTGATTTTCATTGTAAACAATATTTGGCAAGTTTTGCTTCAAGTAGTTAAACATTCACACATAAATGCACATTGGCCTTCAAGTAAAATACCTGTTATTCTTTCTGATTTTAAACCAAATTGACATGTCAGTAAGTTCAGTTTAGTTACTCAATATAAAATTGTATGCAAATCTGTTAAATTTTTCCAAATTTTGGCAGACCGCAGGACAGATCGACAGGGATGTGAATGCGACTGAAAATATAATTTTTCTTATAGAGTTCACCAGCAGCAGTTGGAACCTGGATTTCATCATTTATTTCATCTGCCCAAGGATACTCAAGACACAAAGATATCTATAGTCTTGTATATAGTATTGTGATACCACTTGAAGTCGTCCAATTTAAGGTAGTGCTTAAATTGGAATATTAAGAGCAAGACTTGGTGTAAGCAGCTTATAAACAACTGACACTTATATCCCTATGGCATGTAATAGTGGCGCCACAGTGTCAGTTGTTAAGTGAAGCAAAAATATATGCATATATTATGAGTAAAGGATGCCGCATAGTGGTTGTAATATTACACTCGGCAGCTGCAGGCTAGCGAGGTCTCAGGAATCGCTGAGAATATCGCTGGACCAGCGGCTTCGAAGATATAACTTGTAAGAAGGGTATTGGAGGATTTAAATTTGTAATACCCGCCTTCCTTTTGAATGATCGAATCAGAAGCAATGATGGAATATATCTGCGAGGGTGGGAGGATTAATGTCCCAATGCTCAACGATATATTCCGAGCTTCTGGAAAGAGTGCTGGTTCGGTCATTCATACGGATAGACGTGTTTCTGCATATAATATATTAAACCAGTGAGCAATTGTAATGTGTGTAGGTGTAATAGTATTACCCTTTGTCTCATAATCCAAGACCCGTACAGAGACCCTGAGGAAGAAATTTCATTGCCACCGGAACCCAACCAACATCAGAAAGAAAAGGGAGAGTGAGCGGTAGCACACTGAACTTAAGGACATCTCTGTCTATCAAAGGCTACAATATAGTACACACACAGGAATGCAAAGTACATCTTGAATATATATATATCACTTTGCATTGATTCATATGTGCTTCTCCAATTACAGAATATGAGGGAACATTAAAATTAATAATACAGATATAACCGTTTTTCTGAATTGTTAATAATTTTATGGGAATCTGTAAACTTGGAACTAAAAACTATAAAGGTAAAATAATACTGATCTCTGTGCAACTGCAGCTAATTCTAATCATTATTTTTTTATTCTTGGTGTGTGGCCAGACTGAGTCCCTTGGCGTTGCAGCCATAACTGGCCATATTGTAATAGGCCCAGATGGTGGAGGGAAGAATGTAGCATTAGTGGGATTATAACTGGCAGGAGAACACTGAAGAACTCTGAGAAGAACCTGATCCAGTGCAACTTTTTCTACCATAAATCCCATACAGAATACCCTGAGATTGAACCCAGGCCTCCCCTGTTGGAACCTTCTGACTAATGGTTTGAGTTATGGTACGAATTTCATTTTTGCCCATTACATCAGTGGTTCTCAAACTGTGGGGCGCAACCCCCAGGGGGGGCAAAGGGCTTGAAAGGGGGGCGCAGCATACGTTCCTACAGATAAAAATTAAAACTGCCCTAATCAATTAGAAAAGTAACAAAAAATAAAAATACATATAGAAAAACTTTTGATGAGTACAGGCTTTAATTATCATGAATTTCAAAATAACTAATAATTATTCTCTTTACCGGCAATTATAAAATGCGTATGCCAGAGACAGCGTTGATAGTTCGGCAGCAGCCACATCCTCTGAAATCCTCTGAATCTAGACTTTTTAAAATGCTGTGTGAGGAAATGGGTGCCGAACAAACTGCTCTGTTGTTTTTAGTGATGCTAGATGGCTTTCAAGAGGCAAGGTATTAAAGAGAATGTTTAAGCTGAGGCATGAGGTGTTCTGTTTTTTAAATGGGGAAAATCACTCACTGGCAGGACAAGGATATTTTATTGAAAATGGCTTACCTCACAGATATATTTGAGAAACTAAATATCCTCACCACTTCACTTCAAGGGAATGAGGCAACTGTACTTTCTTGGAATGACAAAGTGAAGGCATTCATGAGAAATTTTAGCTCTGGAGAAACAGTATGGAAAGTGACACACTAGACATGTTCCCTACTCTAGTGTGAATGGTACAAGACACTGATAATCCAGTGCTTCCAATGGACATAAAAAGCTGCCTACTTGATCATCTCATAATGTTGAAAGTTCATTTCGAGAAATACCTTTGCAATGATTTTGATGAATTTAATTGGATTAAAAATCCATTCGAAAATGCTCCTGGGCCATCATCTCTGAAGGTAAATGAGCAAGAACAACGCATCGATTTCACTAGTGATACTTCATTAAAAAGTAAATTTGAGAAATTGTCTTTTTTGGAGTTCTGGATACATATTGGCAAGGAATACCCAACTTTGAGCCAAAAGGCATTGAAGATACTGATTCCTTTCGCATCAACTTACTTATGCGAGACAGGCTTTTCTGCTTTGGCAGCTATAAAGTCAAAGTATCGTTCAAGGCTATATATTGCTTAAGAAGTTAGAGTGACCATTTCTGATATTATGCCACATTTTGATAAACTTTGTTCTCAAAAGCAGGCCCATCCATCACACTGAACTTTGACATTTAAATGTTTGATTTTCTTTGCAGAAAAAAATTAAACACTTGTTAGTTAAATATCGTTTCATTTCGATACATATTTTGGTTAACTGCAAGTGTTAAAACTAATTTATATTGTAGGCCTAATATTGTGATACTTTAATTTTGAGTAAAAAACTGCTAAATAGTATGTAGAAAAACACAAAATAAACTGAATAAAACGTCAAACATACCATGACTTATATTTTGATAAAAAAAAACAGGCTGGGGGCCTGAGAGTATTTTCTCTTGTCAGGGGGGCTCAGAGGTAAAAAGTTTGGGAACCACTGCATTACATCATTCCACCTGCCTTTGTACTGATTTTTGTTTTCTTATGAGTACAAAATTCTAACCTTAAGGTTTAAGCCTGTACTCACGCCATCTAATGCCTATTTTCCAAAGGTTCTGTACCTCTTTCAAACTGTGGATTAAATCAGACACAAAACACCCCCACCGTTTGGAAACATATGCCCACTTCTGCCCTGTTGTGTACAGATTCTGATGGTTCGAGATATACTTACCCAGGATGAATGGTATTTGATAGATGGCAGGGAAGAATAGACCACTGAGAGTGCGCAGAATGGTATACACTACGTAGTTTGGTGAAAATGCAGTCAATATTGAGAGGTTTACTTCCAAGAACAGAATAATGAAGAACGATGTTCGACGGCCCCATCTGAAAATGTAGTTACTGGTATATATTTTACTGTAGGCGCAATATTGTTCATTGGTTTGTAAACTTCATTATCACACTGCTTAATTTCACCTCAACTAGAAACAGATTTTGATAACAAGAATAACAGGCTATTAAGTGGAATTATTTTTACTTTATTCATTGTTAATATTTTAATATTTTTTCTTAAGGACATACCTATTACAATCAGGTAATGATGGAATGTGGTGAGTACAAGAAGGTATAAGGAAAAATGCTAAGATTTATAGGAACATTAATAAGAAGCTGGAAGGAAGAGAAATTTTCAGTCACAATCATCAGAAATTGGTAAGACTGAAAATATTTTAGTATTTGTAATATAAATTAATATCATGAGTGTCATTAAAAATAAGAGAAAGGAGTTTCAGTTTCGGTTCATAAATATAAGTTGAATACTTTATCATTTACTTAACCTCCTTCATGAAATCTTTGTTTATTAAAATATAATATTATGCCTCTGACGGTATTTTTAAAAGATAATTTTAGGCATGCAAGAAGATAACTTCCTGGAGATTCAAGAATGTAAAGATATGTTGCAGTGTTTACTAATTTTAGATCTCTGCTTAAGGGTATTGTGACATGTTGCGCAAAGGAGAACCCCCCCGCCCACCAGCAGTGACGCGGCGGGTGAGTCAGCGCTCCCCTCCCCCTCCTCCGCACGGTAACGTAACGGTGACGCAACAGGATTGCAAGAGACGACGGTGGTAACAGCGGTTACTACCGCTAGCGTTACTAGCAACACAGCGCCAGGCAACAAGGATGCTTATTACGTGGCCGTTTTCTGTATGGTCCGATCGAGGCTACATGAAGCACAGCGAAGGCTATTCACAGTTAGTTCTGGAGCTACCGCCGAGTCAGTCCTCGAGCTACCTCCGAGTTAGCCAGCAACCAGTCAGTTGTATTGTGGCATTTGGAGTGTACTAATTGTGATACTGCAGATAGCAGTAATCGTAAATCTGTAATTTGGGTGATTGTAAGTGCGAATGTGAAATAAAATTCGCTATATAAAATACGGCGTGAAGTTATTTGTCGCGTTATACGCCCGATACGTGACAACTGGTGTCAGAAGTGGGATTAGAACTTACACATGTGACCGACGAGATTCGATCTCAAAACACGTGACAATTTGGTGTCAGAATTTTTACGAACTTAAACACGCCTGACAAATAATTGAATTATTGTGCATCGAGTGTTTTACTGCTACAACATGGACATGGAAAAAGTTATGGAACGTCTGGAGCAAATGGCGGCCAGACAGAAAGCCGATATGGAGGAATGTAGGAGGAAACGCGACAACTAGTTGTCACGTATCGGGCGTATAACGCGACAAATAACTTCACGCCGTATTTTATATAGCGAATTTTATTTCACATTCGCACTTACAATCACCCAAATTACAGATTTACGATTACTGCTATCTGCAGTATCACAATTAGTACACTCCAAATGCCACAATACAACTGACTGGTTGCTGGCTAACTCGAGGTAGCTCGAGGACTGACTCGGCGGTAGCTCCAGAACTAACTGTGAATAGCCTTCGCTGCGCTTCATGTAGCCTCGATCGGACCATACAGAAAACGGCCACGTAATAAGCACCCTTGTTGCCTGGCGCTGTGTTGCTAGTAACGTTAGCGGTAGTAACCGCTGTTACCACCGTCGTCTCTCGCAATCCTGTTGCGTCACCGTTACGTTACCGTGCGGAGGAGGGGGAGGGGAGCGCTGACTCACCCGCCGCGTCACTGCTGGTGGGCGGGGGGGTTCTCCTTTGCGCAACATGTCACAGTATATTAATGAAAGAGTATTGTGAACTTCCTTCCACTACATGAACGGCTCAATATCCAGAGCACATTTAGAAGGAAGATGGGACTAAGTTCATCTGTCAACTTTGTGTGATTTTCTGCACTAACATCTAACAACTAACAAATTTTACAAAATATGGTAAATTAGATATACAGTTAAATGCTCTCAGTCACTTTTATTTCAAGTGGAGCAGATATTCATGTCATTAACAGGCAAGACGAAAACTGTGCTGTCTTTTATTTCAACTCTACATAATTTGACTGATTCTGATGTAATTCTGTGTATTCATCCCCAGTTAAAATTGCCAAGAAAATTATATGCTAAGCCAGGTCAGTTTATTAGTTTGGCCAACAAAAACCAGAATTAGTCTTTTCACAGATGCCCATTTGTGGTGTTTCATTGTCCACACTTGTAATCTGGACTCATACCATCAGACAGATGTAGGAAAGATATAGAGTGCTACAAAATTATTTGTGAATGTGATAAAAATTATACTTTTATCCACTTTTACAAATACAATGACAATATTGCATTACATTTCTTTTATTTTTTATGTCATTTACTTTATGTTGCTCTCTGTATCTAACCTACACAGAATCAAACGGTAAGACGATTATGAAAAATGAATTGGAAATCATTTGGAAAGAACTGGTCTTGGACTCATCAAAATCACGAAAATGTGCCAGGATAATCGGTATCCATGCCGAGACTCGAACCCAGCACTTCGTTAGTACAAGTTACAGCTACACCAGCATGCTCAGTCCGTAATCAGTTTAGATTCTGATGGAATGTTCTATATGATTTGAGGTTAAGTAAACAGGAGTGTTTTCTAAGCTATAATCAGCTGCAAACATTTAAAAGGAAAATAATAGCGTATTATGACACATAATATAAGATGTCGAATCTGATGGTGCTCAGGTGGGCCTCAGTTCACGGGGTCTGAACTGAGTCAATAGTCAGAGTGTTATTTATTTATTTCTAACTTATTTAAAGTCGCTGTCAGTAACTCAGACTGTGTGGTACCGAATGGTTTAACGACGACAAAATAAACCGGAAAGGATGTGGAAGGAAGTGATTGTGGTCTAGTTTAAGGTATTAGCTATGAATTTTCCTGGAAGGATTGAAGAAACCCTCGAAACTTGTCATAATAGTCATGTTTCCACAGAGATTAGAACTGTGTCTTTCCTCAGTAAAAATAAGAAACACTGCAGCTTGAAAAAACATCCTCGGTCAGAGTGTTGCTAAATACAATAATTCCACTTGTCTACAGTCTAGTGTACAGGCGCTAGAACTGCAAGAAGGTGGGACATACTTATCTGCGATCCAACCAAACACCACATTTCCAAACAGGGAGCCCACATAGAAGAAAGTAGTTGAAGTTGAGGGCCACCAACCATCATCACAAACCAGGTTCAACTGTAAATCGTAACATAAAAACATGAGTTCCACGATTCTGATGGCTGGTCTGGACTTCCGGAATGTGACGTTGTGTGGCGGTTGCCTACAAAACTACAAAGCGTCAGATCTCAGAAGACCGAGATTATAACAACATATTCAGCATAAGTAAAAATATTGTAGAACACGTTCTGAATTTTTCAGAAAACAGGCGAAGATATGTCAGCACTTACTATAAAGATTGCATGAGTGACTTACTTTAATTAGCTATCTTAACTCAAATATAACTGATTATACCACAGACCTACTGGAATTTGGTCCAGAAAATCAGTTTTTAATTGCATTTTATTAAGGTTCTCTTACCTTTTCACCTGATGATTCTGATATTGCCAGAATCTGAAAGACGTAATACAATACATCTCAAACTTCTAATTTTAGCTACGGTACTGATTGCCTTAACTTCTCGGTTGAACGCTACAGCTTAGTCCCATACTAAGATTGAAACTGTTAAAAGTAAAACACGAAGGACTGACACTACTGCCCTCATGTGGACCTTGGCCTTCTTGCGGAGGTATACTCCAGTCTTTCTTAACCTTCAGCGCTAAGCAGGTGAGTGGTTAGCGTCACGCCTCGGAGTTTTGCCTCGGAAGGAGCCACCATTTAATAGAGCAGGGAGTGGACTCGAGAATCTACTGGACTCTATCTTTTGGACTCAAAGCCCGATTATCCAGACGTCCAGTCAGTAGCCTAGTCTTCATGCTATTTTTGTTTATTGCTAGTGGGGTGGGACTAAGTCCCTTGTACTGCGGCCACTTCTGGTCTATTGTACCAGCCCCAGATGATAGGTGAGGATGATTGTGGAGCAATTGGTGGAATGAAGATTGGCAGAGGAAACCGAAGTACTCTGAGAAAACCCTCCCCAGCGCCAATTTGTTCACCACAAATCCCACTTGACCAGACCCCGGGATCGAACCCGGGCCGCCGCGGTGGGAAGCCAGCGACTAACCGCTTGAGCTATGGTGCGGCCTAACTTGTCGCATTTGGCTGATTTTCTTTCAAATTGTCACTGGTGTATTCTCTTCCCTCGAAACAGAAATTAATTCCTTTATCGCTGCAGTCCTAAGAACGCGATCCTCCCCCATTTATAAAAAGATCTGATGTTGCTTCTAGTGAAGAAGTTACTTATCAAAACAAACAACTCAAACTCCGTGGCCTGTAGTCCGCATGTGGACTATACCGACCGAGCGACCGCTGCTTGTCGGCGAAGTAAGTACAAAATTTTGCGGATAGAAGGTGTCAGGTGGTTAGCGCAACAGAGCCCCACGGCCGTTAATCTCGGTTTTATAGACTGGAGAAGTTACTTATCATCAAATAAAATTGCAGAGTGTCCTGAAAATAATGGGAGTGAAAATTTTCGGGACTATTTCAGGGAAGTGTCGCAGTATTCGCCTGAAGAGACTGAGAAAACCACGGACTTCAGTGAGGATAATAGAGATTGCAGTCGGACTGAAAGAAGGATGCGTACCTCTGTCACCAGAGTGCTGTCGTAGTCCTTGCGGTCATAGTTCCATCCGTGGAGGCACTTGGTTATGTTCCATCCGGTCTCTGGAAAAGGCAGCTGCAGGTCTTCTGGTTCGATTCGCTGCGACTGTATATGTAGGAGGGCCGTGTAGTTCACATCATACATGTAACAGCGACTGTACTTGCGCCTGCCATCGGGGCGCAAGGTGTACGGAATTGCCAGATCCTTCTGCTGGTCGGCAGCTAGTGGGTGGCTGTCCAGGGAAGGCACTCGACACCAGTGTTCCGGTGACGCTGACACAAACACTTGGCTGAAGGCCAGGAAAGCTGCAGGGATGGTTGCAGGGATACACAGGAGATAGTACATGATCTGTTGATATCGACCCCTCTCTCCGATGTGTTGCAGCACCTCATCAAAATCTATGTTCGACATTTTGAATAGTACACACGTTGTTCCTTACAATTTCTTCTAGAATTCAACTAAAACTTAGCATAACGGGCAACTGTGAAATCTAGGCCTGCAAGTCAAACTAAGATCTACACAAATTCTTCTATTCTCCAGTTCTCTGGTTCACGAATCTCTTAGATGTCATTTTTCAAGTCGATCAGTAATTTTATAGTATTTGCGATTTTTGGGTACACAGCTGAATCAGGACTCTGGTGGGAAAGTCGAACTACACGAAATATTCTTCACTTTAGTAAGTCACAATACCTACGGGGCTGCAGAATTATTTAGTGCATAACTTCAGGGCTGCACTGCTGAAACTGTCACTCCACTGATATTCCTAAGCAAAATAAAAGCGTTAAAACGTAGCACACACTGAAAAGAAGAAATATAAAACCAATTACATTAAAATTACATGAAACAATAGCGCACGACACTGACACATCGCAGCATGACTTGGGTAGTAAGGACGAGAGACAAGAACAAAATACCGTCGACTGAAACGGGGGGATGTAGTCTACATAGAATTATTCTGAGAAGCGTTTGTTGTAATGTATTTTCGAAGTTCACTCTAAGCTTAGCTAATTGCAAACGGAAGATGTCAGCAACAGACGATGTCGTTTCAATCGGTATTTCAGTGTTCAACTTGGCTAATAAAGGAACCTCTATGTTATTATTATTATTATTATTATTATTATTACTACTACTACTATTATTACTGTTACTATTATATTTACTTTACGAAGTTATCTGTCTAGAATGTTTGGGGTTCATAGCTTGCATATTAAGCCACTATGATATCCGTATGTCCCTCAAGGAATATGATATTTGCGAGTGAAACAACAGCAGGGCTCTGTGGAAGCCGCATATAGATTTTATAATTGTCAAATTGTTCTTCTGAATTTTCAGCGACCATTTCACTAGTAAATACGTTAGTAATAAAAGCACAGTCATAGGGACAAGAAATACTATATATATATATAAATCGGAAATCGGATATATTGAAGGAATAAATGATAAAATATTGCCGAACTATGTATTGATATAGAACTGTAACCTGGCAGGAAAAACAAAGTTGGAGAAACCAAGAATGGGATCGAATGATATCAGGAAAACTTGCAACATACACCACAATCAACAAATAAAAACAAACTCCTTGATTTTAGTCCGCAAGCGAATTATACCGACCGAGCGACCGCCGCTTGTAGGCGAAGTTTAGTGCCAACCTTTGCGGACAGAGGGTGTCGCATGGTCAGCGCAACGAATCCCCACGGCTGTTAATTTCGGTTTTCTAGACCAGAACCGCTAATTAATTAATTAATTAATTAATCGACTCTCCATCTCGAAGTTTCTCATATTTATTCAGTCCCTCCAGTCAAATGTCTGGATGATAGCATCTCGGTCAGTTAGCTACAAATTATTTTCATTTCTCATTCATTCATTGAAAGCTACTGCTACTGCTGCTACTGCTACTGCTACTGCTACTGCTACTGCTACTGCTGCTACTGCTACTGCTACTGCTACTGCTACTGCTGCTACTGCTACTACTGAAAGCATTTTAAATAAACCACAAACAAGTAAATAAATATTACATAAATAACCCTCGGAAAATGTATAAACATATTCAGAATTTCCGCTGTGTTCTTAGTGACTTCAGTGATATACCTGCGTGTGTGGGAAAGCAGGACAGGAGCAGTCAGTGGCTGTGTAGGCACGGCACGCCGCATCTTCTGCACGGTGTTTACTTTCGAGTGATTCAAACCGAACCGTAAATTAACAAACGGTAATGCCATGACGCAACTATTGACATCAGAAGATAGAGACAACATAAATAATAAGCCGTATGCCATCTGTAGACAAACGGCTTTCGTTTTGGAAGAAAACAAAAGTAATAATATGTTGGCGTGCATGAAGGTGGAACACTAAACAGAGATGTGATAATGTCACTTGCAGAATGAGGTGTGACGTAATGTACTTTTATTACGATTTTTTTTCGTGTGTTTATAATTTTACGTTAGTAGTTTTATTCATTTTTGAAATAATGAAGCGTTAAATGGCTTAAATTAGGACGATGAAAGAAGGCTGGATCTAAAAGGAACAGGGGAAGAAATCGTTATTTATTCCAAGACACTGTATCACCATTCAAACTTTTAGAGTGATTAAAATAAGCAATCTTCAAGAGACACCCAGCGAAATGATAATATAATGCATTTATCTGGGATTAATGAAAAGGCAGACGTCATAATGTTAACCAGGAGGAGAAAACAATGTCCACCTGCTACCAGGCTGTAGTACCAGAACTGGAGTCCAGCAACAGATTTCGAAGAAAGCGGAATTCAAGGAAACAGCTAATACCGTGATCTGAATGGTTTGTGTAACACTAGAATGGTGTAAAGCGCCCAAACCGAGCAAAGAAGAAGTAAATTAGAGTAAATTACGTAGAAAAGCGGGTCCTCCGTCATGATTCGAACCGGGTATCTCTTAAATGTCAGTCACAAACAATTAAAACTTCTTACTGTAACAACTAATCGGAAGCGGAAGCTTTTGAGAAATGTGTACAGTCAAGTAACTGAGCAAGGGGGCGGCCTCCGTAGTCTAGGGGTAACATTCCCACCTCATGACTCAAGGTACGCGGGTTCAAACCCGGCGGAGGTCGTTGAATTTTTAAGGGCGGAAAAATTCAGGGAACAAGTCCTCCGGGAGGGACCTCTGAGCTAAATTACAGGCCCTTTCCCTCCCAAGTAGTCTCCAATGCCTCTGGTGGATGGGGGAAGCATCAAGGTACCGAGGGCCGACCTCGTTGACTCTACGTGGGCTGATGGCACGCACCATTACCAGCAGGGTATGGCGACACTAGAAATTAAATGGGGATGCACAATGGACCAATAACTGGTCTAAGTGCATGGGGTAACCCACCCCCTCTCATAATACGAATACGAACTGAGCAAGGGGGTTTGAGTAGATTAGAATGGCTAAATTAATTGGCCACTAAGAATATTTTTCACAGTAAACCAGAAAGTATGAAGAATGAGGAACTGCCAAGAGTGAGGTGGATGGAAGATGAAGAGAATAATTTACAACAGCTGAAAATGAAGAGATGGAGGGAAAAAAAAACAAATAAAAAGGTGAATAGGTACATGCCCCAGAAGACGACAATCTGCTTAGGGTGTCATATAGCCAAGGTGTAACTATTTCTTTAAAATGAAAATTTTCGCTTCCCCAGAGTCAAAATTTGATATTATAAATGACAGAAAATTAAAACGCAAGAAAGCAGGGGGTCCGAATATTATTATATAAGGGCCAAATATTACGACAGTTGTGCTGAGCCGAGCCGAGCCGAGCCGAACCAAACTGGTTGCTACGCAGCAGTGAACAACTCTCGGCAGCATAGACCGTTCAAGTGATTAGACCGCTGTGGTAGCGACTACTGCTAGAAATAAGGTATAATCTGCTGTACTGAGCCTGAACTGACAGAGGCTTTGTATATATTCTACATAGAAATAGAAAGTAAGATTAAATTTGTAAATATATGTAAATACTGACAATGGACTTACTAATACGGACTATGACTGACAAATGAAGAACCGACCTCTCGTCAGAGAGGGCGCTCCAAATGGATAGGACAGGACAGGACAGCAACTTTAATCTAAAAAGAAACATCTGGTCATGAGCCCCAGCTGGGGTTCGACACCAAGACAGACAGACTGACCGACCGTCAGTCGTAATGTGACTTTGACTTTGACTAAGGAGCAGTTAGTATTCTGGAGTATTCGGCGGAACAGAAGTCAGTCAGTCAGTCAGTCGAAGAAGCCGGGGGAAGAAGAAGAACTGAACGCGTGATGAGAAGATTTTACGTGTGATAATCAGTCATAGTGGTGATAACTGGGAAGGCTTTGTGTATTGGGAGTTTGTAACACAGTGACACTTTTACAGCTCCCATGTTATACTGTAAATAAGTGGAGACTACTGAAGGTAGAGTGAATAGACTAGCGTGTAGGGTGTGTACATTGTGTAAACTCGCAACAATGTTATAATTAATTGTAGTTACGACTTGTAGGTTGTTAATAAAACCAATCAACAATTCGAACGGCGTCCACAGTAGTCCAAACACGCTACAGTATTATTAAAATTATTAGTCCTATATTAGACCTTTCAATCTAGGGTAGTTAATGTAAAATCTGGCGATAAATTATGAGACTAAATGATAAATATGCGTGTCGTGGGCTACAAACTTCTGCCTTAATATCGCACAAATGTGATAGAATACTGATGAAATATGATATATCCTGACTTGTAACTCTTTATCGCCCAATGGCTACTGAACGCACTTAAAATTCTGCAGCATACCTGGAGAGTGCATTTATGTGCCTCATATGATTCTCAAAACAAACAGCGATTATTTCCCTAAACATCATTAGCCAGTTGAGCTTAGCAGCGGAGACGTAATATGTTTACTGTGAGTTAGAACTAAATTTTCATGCAATATATTACATTACAAGAAGCCACTTCTTCCAAGAACGTCCTAAATAGTAACTTAGAAAAATTCATTTCCTCTAGACACATGTAATATAGTGCGTTGCAATTGATGATTTACTGCAAGTAGGTGCCCATGCAATACCTTGTAATAGACCACTTCTTCCAGATAAAGGCCAATTAAAAAAAATCAGGCAACAACATCAATGCATATACCGGTCTAATACCTAACAATTGGCTACTTCCTCTTGAACCATGATATCACAGTATCATACAACAAGGTGGTTTCTCTAGATATATGCATTATTGTACCTTACAACAGACCACTTCTTCCAGATATGTGCCAGTACAAAAAAATCAAGCAACTTTCCCAGTTCATATGCCAACATACTCTCTTACAACAGTTCGCTACTATCAGACACATGCTAATATACTGACTTACAAAATGCCATTTCGTCCATGCACTAGCCTACAGCAGCAGCTATCATTCCTCGATCACATGACAAAAAATGTATCTTATAACAGCTTCCTGCAGGCATATGCCAAAGTAACACATTATGACTTCCTCCAGGCACATGGGAAAAGAGCAAACGGCAGTGATCCCCTTTCTGGAGACGCATTCAGTATATCAGAATAAAACAAACAGCTTCCTTCAACGACATGTCAATATAGTATGTCACAAATGAACCTCTTTCCAGGCACATGAAAATAGCGTTCCTTCCACAAGTGTACCGTACTACATCATGCAATGTCATATAGAGACGTACAAGATACTGCATAAGTGAGGACAGTTTCTCGAGGAACATACCATTATAGTATCTTAACAACAGATCATTTCCTCGAGCCATATGACAATGTACTATCTTAGAACAGACCTCTTCCTCCAGACAAGCTAAAACAACAGGTCCCTTCCTTCAGGCATTAGCCAAAACAACTGGTCACTTGCTCCAGACACAAGCCAAAACAACAGGCCACTTCCTTCAGGCATAAATCAAAACAGCAGGCCACTTCCTCCAGACATAAGCCAAAACAACAGGCCACTTCCTCCAGACATAAGCCAAAACAACAGGCCACTTCCTTCAGACATAAATCAAAACAACTGGTCACTTGCTCCAGACACAAGCCGAAACAACAGGCCACTTCCTCCAGACATAAGCCAAAACAACTGGCCATTTCTTCCAGACAAGCTAAAACAACAGGTCCCTTCCTCCAGACATAAGCCAAAACAACTGGTCACGTGCTCCAAACATAGGCCAAAATAACAGGTCACTTCCTACAGATATAAGCCAATACAACAGGTCCCTTCCTCCAGACATAAGCCAAAACAACTGGTCACGTGCTCCAAACATAGGCCAAAATAACAGGCCACTCCCTCCAGACATAAGCCAAAACAACTGCTCACGTGCTCCTGACAAAGGCCAAAACAACAGGCCACTTACTCCAGATATAAGCCAAAACAACAAGTAGCTTCCTCCAATTATAAGCCAATACAACACGCCACTTCACCGAATAGGGTGCTGTGGTGGTAACGCTCAAGACTTCCATTCGGAAGGTTCTCAGTACGAATCTCAGCCGGAAAGATTTTGTGCTTTTCTTCAGTTCTTTCAGGCAAATTCCAAGACAATACCTTGATTAGGTGAATTCCGCTTTCTTCCAAAATCTTTCCAATTCCTGACTATTCATCTGTCATCCTATCACGCAGTTCTGTACAGTTCTCATACTGAAAGCTTCCTTAACTAACCTACGGAGAAAACAAGCAAATTCCTCCAGAATCATGTAATATACAGTCTTAGAAAGGCCATTTCCTTCAGACACACGCTAATGTATTGCCATACAGTAGGCCTTACTTCACAATTTGACTCTATCCAATATTCAAGTAATCGCTGCACACAATCAAATGGTGCAGCGTCGCAGAATGAGACTTTAAATTGAGGTTACCGTAATCGGCAGCATTGTCAGTGACCATGTGTGCAATGTAGATATCTGTATCGTGTCACATCAAAAGGATACCTTATTATGTTTCATTGCACAAAGCTGGACTTCGTCACCGCACGAGTTCGAGTAAAAGGTAAGAAAAACGAAACTACGGATTCACAAAACTAGTGACATCCTCGCACCGAGCGTACAAAATATGAACTAACTATTTCTCACCGTCCTAGTTTCCTTTCCCCTTCCCCCTCCCATAAGCTCGTCACATTTCAAAATTAGATCACTTAACACCCCCATTTTCCATTACATCTTCCCCCTCTAGTCGAGCCCTCTTCTGGAGTTCCTGCTTTAAATTGTTGTTGAAACTATATATGGCGTCATTTCAACTCTGCACATACTGCATTGTTCTTATGCTCATGTAATATTTATTCAAGCAACATGTTTTCCAAATGCTTTGATTGTATTTCCGTTCCTCTTAATAATCTCGGTGCTTGTGTTCTGCAGGCAGACTAGTTGTATATAATGTCACGTGTCACACTAACTAAAGACGGTGTTCAAATTGGCAGTTGCATTTATTAATAATATACAGGTCATAATTATAATTAATCATTACACTTTTGCTATTTTAACCAATGTACAATTACTCCACATTAATCTCGTAAGTATATCTGCACTAGTCTCCACAGGTTTATAATACGGAACTATAACAGTCTCACTGAATCACACACTCCAAATATTACACATAAATAAGGTCTTCTAATCACTCGTTAAGTTGTCACAGGCCGACTTCTAGTTCTTCAACTACGAACTTCCCGTGGCTATCTCCTTGCTTGCTTATTCGCTTGCTTCTGCCGCTATTCTTCCTTACTTATAACTCCTTTACTTATATAGCAGAAGAACGGACATGGACCTACAGTAAACACATATCACGCGATCGCTATCCTGCCAGATTAATTGACGCGTTGGTCGCATTTACAGAAAATATATGTCACGTGATCACTATCCACTGTTTTGACATCAGTGCAGACACGGAAAACACAGCTTCCCCTATTTTTGCGTAACCTAGCAATGTGCCGTTTTCCAAGAATCTGTCTTCGCTGGAAATTATTTACCAAACCGTTGCCTAGCAATGGGTGTGCATGTTTATTTTTAATTTCTTTAATGACACTCTTAGTCATTTACACTATATAGCGTTGAACGATTCCATTACGATGAACAATGCATTCAGGAAATTGTGGAAAGTTGTGATGTTAGAATAATTTAGGGCAATTTACAGGAATTTGGTTGACTGAACTGAGGAGACCCACCAAACAGCTCAAAGAGGGCAGTCGTCCCAGTCGAGATTCCAACCGGGCACATCCTCACTACAAGTCAGAAGTGTAACCGGTTGTGGATTTTCTTTTATTGCTAGTGGCGTGAGACTTAGTCCCTTGCAATGGCCGCGCCATAGCTCAAGCGATTAGTCGCTGGTTTCGCAACACGGCGGCCCGGGTTCGATCCTGGGTCTGGTCAAGTGGGTTTTGTGGTGGACAAAGTGGCGCTGGGGCAGGTTTTCTCCAAGCACTTCGGTTTCCCCCGCCAATCTTCATTCCACCAATTGCTCCACAATCACCCTCACCTATCATTTAGGGTTGGTACATTAGGCCAGAAGTGGCCGCAGTGCAAGGACTTAGTCCCACCCCACTAGCAATAAAAAGAAAGTCCCTTGTATTACGGCCACTTCTGGCCTATTGTACCAGCCGCAGAAAATAGGTGAGGGTGATTGTGAAACAATTGGTGGAATGAAGACTGGCAGGGGAAACAGAAGTAATCGGAGAAAACCTGCCCCAGGGCAATTTTGTCCACCATAAATCCCACTTGACTAGACCTGGGATCGAACCCGGGCCGCCGCGATGGGAAGCCAGCGACTAACCGCTTGAGCTATGGCGCGGCCAACCTGTTGTGGATTTTAAGAGAACTAGTGATAAAGCAATTGTTATACTTCTCTCTTTGAACGTCATCTCTCGCCGTAGGGAACAAAATGACTTGAAGGTTTATGAGAGCAGGGAGCTGAACAAAGGCGAAGTCGCATTCGCATACAGCATGTTATTGAAAAGGTTCCCTTTACACTATATAAAAGTCCTCTGTGATTCCAGTCTTTGCATAGCAGATCATCCCTATCTTATGCTACAACGGCAGGTTAGTCACTTCAGAGTCAGAGTCAGAGTCAGATTTACATTGCGACTGGCGGTTTACTGCAAATCAGTTTGTCTTGGGGCCAAGCCTGACTCTCAACTAACTGTCCTGCTTATAACAAATCAGCACGGACCACACAGAAAAAGACGCTCGTGTTTCGATTTGTTGATGTGCAAACATGTTTGTTTGCGAAGCCGTTACTCAGTAACGGCTCTTGTATAGATTATTCTTTCTCAGTCGTTGCTTATCAGCGGGTCTACGTGCCACAATATGCAGTATATGTGCGTGTTTTAAATTTAAGGTATTAATATGGGAGATAGGAGGCCAATGGATTCTGAACTGAATGGTAACAAACAATTGGTTATTTCTTATCTACACGTCCCTAGTACCTCTAATCCTGTCTCATCCGGACTGTTCCTTCGTGATTGCTCTGGGTATAATCTTCCAGTCAGAGGCAGTCTTCGTTTTCCGAGAGAGGCCGTCCCTCCATACACCGAACAGCCCGAATATAGAGTGAGATTTTTTCCAAATGTTTTTTTTTTTTAAAGAAGGATCGCCATTTCTCGGGCCCCTAATAATAAGCATGGCTTTAAAAACAACGAATATACTCATTCCTCACTGCAAATACTTCCACTTTTATTTCTCCTCCTGACGACGTGTTTCGGCCTCAAATGGCCATCATCAGGAGTTCTCTCTACGCCAAACAGTCGCATTATATAAAATGTTCACTTATTTGTATATATTTATATATTTGTGTTTTTAAAGATATATAACTGCAACAGGATGCTTAAATATAATAAACATGAACTTACTTCTTTTTGCTTACAACCCTAGAATTAAATGACATGATAATTTTAGTCAAATTTTTTCTCTTCTCGTCTTACGTTCGGACTTACATGATTTACATGTCAATACAACTTTCACCGACACTTGAGTTACTCTTCTACCCTGAAGATGGAGGTAGCACTTTCTTCCGAACTGTCGGAAAACTTCTACTAGGCTACAAGCCGTAACATCCAGAAAACAGCTATGTTCATTGGCATCGCCATGAGACCCTCGAATACCACGTTTGCTCCCTTCTGTGGGCCTCCGTTAGTTCACTTGGTGCAGGCAGACGGCAGTCCCTTGTACGAGCATGCGCGTCCTCTTTCGCACGCAGCCAATAACGGCGAGTGTCACTCAGTTACATTGGGGTGATCAAAACGAGAGTGACATGAAGAGACTATCGGGGAAATGCGAAATGCAAATAGATCAGTTGTGGGAGCTTCTGAACATGGAAGCCAACCTTCACTTCGGAAGCCAATATGGCAGGAAGATTTCTTTATAAAATTTTTATGTTCAAACTTGTTCCCTGTCTCAGGCATTTTTAAAATTTACGAAGTTTTGAAAGCTGGATCTGGTATACAAAGTGGAAGGATCTTGTAGAGATGAGCCCTTTGGGCAGACATAGTCCCAATCGCTTCCGAAGGGTCCTGTAATTTAAATATACTTAATACTATGAATAATGAAAAATATAATTTTACTATGAATAGTAGAAAATTATTGGAAACCTTTAGAGATCAGCAATTTTTTTATTGATTATCATTTTCTCATTAAGGACTATATCCTATGGACGTAGTCCCTTCTTCTCCTTTTGAAGAGGAGAAGACTGATATCTTCATAATGAATAAGATAATTGCTTCATGTTTAGGCCTATTGTAAATGTTCCTAGTTTTGATCTAGCCTCACAGAAAATTGGGACACGTGATAGTTTAGTTGGTTGAAGCTACAAGCCTGCAGGTGGCGGGTTCTGTTCCCAATGAAGTCGCTTGATTTTTCAATAGACCTATACACTATGGCCCTGGGGTTGACTCAGCCTCTAACAGAAATTAGTACCAGAAATCTTCCTGGGATGAAAAGGGCGCCCGACGCGTAAGGCTGATAACATCACTGCCATCTGTGAGCCGACTGTCTAGAAAATGTGGGAGCCTCAACATCTCTCAACCCTATGGGCCGCCAAGGCCTGTTACAGGAAGAGCTTTCCTTTACGTATACCTCACACAAAATATCTTCGTAACATGTTCAAGAAAATTGCAAATGTTACATTTGGGCAATTCCAAGATGAATATCCATCAACACAGTCATCAGATATTTTGTCATTTGTCGAAGAGCATGCACAGGCATATCGCCCCTTCCAGACTCTTAAGACTCACCTGCTAGAGTAGATGTTGGAATTGGCGCCCTCCATTTTCAGTGCGTGTTACATCAACGAAAGAAACTTTGGCACACCCTTTCAAATAGTCCAGGTGTCTCACGGATCACGTCACATGCAACAAGTATTCTGGCCAACAGCTCGAGTTCATTATCCACAGGCGTGTCGTAGATCAGGCTTTTCACATGGCCCCAGAAGAAGTAGTTCAGAGGTGTCAAGTCTGGGGATCGGGGTGGCCAAGGCACTGGGCCTCCTCTTCCTATCCAACGACCATGAAAAGCAGCATCCAGGTAGTCTCGTGTTACAATGCTGAAGTGTGCAGGCGCTCCTTCATGCTGTATCCACATTTTCCTCCGCACAATCAGTGGTACGTCTACAAGCAAAGTTTGAAGGATACCTTCCAGGAACACCTTGTAAAAGGGCCCATTGAGTCGCGGTGGTAGAAGGAAAGGCCCAATCAAGTGATGGCCAATGATGCCCGCCCGGACATGACAGAAAATTGCGCCTGGTGGTAACCAACTACAGTAACGTTGGGGTTTTGGTCAGCCAGAACGTGGCTGTTTCGACAGCTGAACCAGCCATCCCTTGTAAACTGCGCTTCGTCTATGAAGAACATGTGATTCAGGAAGTCGGGCTGATGTAAACACTGGTTCAGTATCCACTGACAAAATTGAACTCGTGGTACGAAGTCAGCTGGACCTACGTCGTGCACTCACGTTGGATGATACGGATAAAGTTGTTGGCCGTACAGGACCCTCCAAACACTTGATTTTGATGTCCCCACAATCCTGGCAATGGCACGAGTGCTGGTGG